ATTTGCATAATGTGCATTCAGCACAAGCCTGGGTTAGAAATGAGAATCGGATAGAATGCTAATGACGTAATCCCGATGGGCGATTACCTTTTGGTCACGAGACTTACTTAGAGTGGTGGTACAGTTTCATAATGATCAACTTGAGTTGAAAACAATTGCCTGTTTAAATAAATTTGTGAAGGACAAAACAAAATGTACTGCACCCACTTTTGGGGGTTGAATATTTTGACTGACCGGTTACAGTCACATCACCGGGGCACTTGCTCAATAAAAGGCATCTTCCGTTGGTGTAGCAGCGTATCCAGCTTTTTTTTGGGGGGGGGGGGCACATCCGTGCTGATCTTGATGTCGACATGTTGTTTTTTCACCGGACACTTGGCCTCCGTAAAATCAAATGGGGGGGGGGGGGGGGGGGGCTGGGCTGGTACCAAGTTTACACAAATTGGAGCGCTCTTCGAAACCGGCCATTTTATTCTGGTTCTGTATCTGGTGGAATATACTGCATGCATAAGCTCATCAGTAGGGATGTAATATGCAGACGCCATGGTGACCGAGCAGATATTTACATGAAGTTGTAGCGTTTTCAGATCAATTCTCAATTCTCAATTCGTCTTAATTTTTAGTTAATTATCACACTTTGATTATCAATGTTCCATTCTAACTTTTTAATGATTAATTCTCTTGAATGCATTACTCATTGTGTTCCTTGAATACACATACACTCACACAGTACCTATGCAATGTGTAGTCCCTTTACTTTTATACAGAGCAAATGAACTTCACTGCCCACACACAAGTCTTTGGTCACTTAACCAAGTTACTTTCAAGATCATTGTTTTAAGGAACTATATTACTCATTCCTAGTCATTTTTCTGAGACTCAAGGAAACCACGATATGACTAAGTTTCCCCATTCTTAAGTATTTCTTATTCTCAAGACTTCCTGTTTCCACCAGTTTATAAGTGCTGCTCCCGCCACCAGCAGTATCTCATTCTGTTTCATTCTGTTTCAATTCCAATCCTGTTCCATTTCTTTTCTAGTCTATTTCAGTTCACCCAGTTCTCTTTGTCTCAGTTCGCTGTAACCTGTTCAATCATAGAGCAAGGACAGACAGAGTGGTTCAATCAATCAATGTGTATTAAAATATTGTTGTGGAATAAACAGTCACGGTATACACAGTCCTCAACCAAATCGTGTATCGACTTATCAATTCCCCAACAAAGCGGGCCCCCTGATGATGTCATCTATGTTAAGAGACAGAAATTCTGACTTGAACATTCCAATGCTTGGTGCTTGACGTATTTCCGGTTGAAATATGTAATGTGCCCATTTTCAAGGCCCATTGTAGAGGTTTTAGGGCTCTGGTTTTCATATTCCCCGCTCATATCAGAACTCTCAGGCTATACCATTTTGGGGAAACAAATTATCCGAGATTTTAGAGCCATTTTTTTTTTTTTTATCTCGAGGGGGCCGGCACATTGTATGCTCAAGGGGGGCACATTCATGTCCGCAGGAGGGGCACTAGCTATCTAAGGGAAAATCTAAGGTGGGGGGGGGGGGGGGGGGGGGGTGCCACCCCGGTTTCGCCGCCCCTGGGCCCGAACTAGGGACAACTAAGACGTACTAAATAATTTATTTCACGACACTGTCGATGATCGCGATTTTTTTTCTAGACATTGAAATTCTACAACATCGTTTTTTTTCGCGACATGAAATTCACGATAAATGTATGGTGGTGTACGATAATGATCATCGGGAATGCAACGAAATAAACGGAGTTTTTTCTAATAAAGGTATACGGTGTGTGGGTGGACTATGATTTACTGATCCAGAAAGCACCGCCCCATGGTGTTCTGACTAATCACAGCCGTGACTTATATGTCCGACGTGCTCGCACAAAAGTCACGCGCGTATGATGCGCGCGGCAGGAAAATGCAGTGTGGCATTGGATAGGAGCACGTGTTAATAGACCGCTTGCAGACGCGTTCGATAATTGACGCGCAAAGGTGCGCGACGCCATGTTGTGGGACAAAATGTGCATGTATAGATATGCGCTTGACCCACAACATGGCGTCGCGCGCCTTCGCGCGTCGATTATCGAATGCGTCTGCAAGCGGTCTATTTGCCCAGTGCGCAGTGGGCGGGGTTTACTCATAGAGTTATATCAACAAAACTAGAGAGCGCACTCATCACGTGACCCCGTGCTGACAAGGACATTTTGTAAGTGGGTAAAGCACATGCGCACAACATAACGTTAGGCAAAACATCACGGTAAAACAAGGCATAGTGGGGGGATTTATAAGTGGAACCAACAGTAAAACAACAAGATACGCATTGCAGTCAATCCTGAAGTATGCACATCCGAGTATTCTTTGCCCACTTACGAAATGTCGGCGAGGTCTACAGGGTGGCACGTCTGCATTGTGCGTGCGGTACAGTGAATGCGCGCTCTAGTTTTTATAATATAACTCTATGGGTTTACTGGATCGGTCCATTAATCCGGTTCGCCTAAAACGTCATACACAAGTAGAGACACACTTTTGGAAAAAAAATGGTCCGATTAACATGGTTAGCTTATTATGATGGGACTTGCGGTTTGGCCGAAGTCAATTTAGAGAGCGTGATCGGCTGACTGATAAGGTTTACGCACAAAACCCCGAGCCAAGTGAGGTTTTTGTAGAGAAAGCTGATATGATATCTTGAGAAAAAATTAATAATCATGATAATGACACATTGCCCGATCGTAGCATGAAACCCAATGGAGCCAAATTATTCAAACGCCACTTTTGAAGGATATCCGGTACAAATGCAAGAAACTATTGATCTTTTAAGAAGAATTTGGGTTGGAAACACATTAGCACAGCTGTACCGGTAGCAGCCAGTCTCTTTCGCGGTCCGTTCATGGTGACTGCGGGCGCGCGGCACGGTACCGCGTTCACCGTTTGTAACAGTGTTGTAGGTCTCGAGACCGGTCTCGGTCTCGAGACCGGTCTCGAGACCACTTTTTGCTGGTCTCGGTCTCGGTCTCGGTCTCGGAAGCTGTGGTCTCGGTCTTGGTCTCGGTCTCGGTCCCCTTTGGTCTCGATATTTTGGCTGGTCTCGGGTCGAGACCGGCAATATGTAGCTTTTACAGCTCGATTACTTTTTGTTCACTTTGTTCAGTACAATTGATAGTTAAAACATTTGCTAGCCCGTAGATAAGCTTGTTATATATCGTGGTCGGTTTGGACTCGACTGCACGTTGGAAAGTCCCCAAAGTACATGTAAAGCTGCAGCAGTACCAGTCACTGAACGATTTGGAACAAGTTCGGCAATTATCTGTTGAGTCGGGCACATAATGCAAAGTATAAACTTGTAACAATTTATGCAATAAGGGTCAACCATTTTGGGGGATTGTGTAGTTTAGCCCACCCCTGTGGGTGTAATCACTTGCATTTTGTATTCTGATAATAAATGAGGTGCTTCAAATTAGTTATATTTTCGACCCCACACAATGATCTCTTTAATTTGGGAAAGTATTTTGAAGAAAAAGTAAATTTTTCTACCAGATTTTCCAGCATTGAACTCACACACTCTTACCAGTTACCACTCACTGTTGCCATAAGAGTGTATGATGAGACCCCATTTTCTGGCTGCTCATTTTGAAGTACCCCATTATTCCTCAAAAATTAAAATCCCGTTCAGAAAAAAAAATAAAAATCCATATCTGGCACATTCTGGCTACCACCTCGCAACTTGTGGGTCTACATGTACAATTAAGTCCACATTCTATGACAGAAATTTAAAAATTAATTCAAGATTTTCTAGCTCCCATTTTTTAAAATCAAGTACACAAGTCTTGTTAGAAGTTAAGTCCTATATTTATTTTAGGAAAAAAGAGGCACAATGTAAGATTAAAATTCCATCTTTAAATATCCGTTAGAAGTCATAGCTGAAACCAAGGGGTGACTGTAGAGTTTAGGATCCGAGTTCCTATAACAGATGAAACATCTACCTTCAACTTTTTTACTTTTGTCACGATTGGGTGCAGACAACATGTCAAAGCCCATATTTCTTAGTGTTTTTTGCTCAAGTAAGGTGTCATGTATCAATTTGTCAACACTGCCACTGGTCAAAATTTTGGTCTGTAATCTTTGTGAATAGAAAGGTTACAAGTTTCAACTATAATAACGTGTCTTGTTTTTTTTATTTCGACTACTGTTATTTATTATCAGCGGTCTCGGTCTCGGTCTCGGTCTCGAACCATATTGGTCTCGGTCTTGGTCCGCCTTGAAGGGGCTGGTCTCGGTCTCGGTCTCGGTCTCGAATCTTCAGGTCTCGGTCTTGGTCTCGGTCTCGGACTATCCGGTCTCGACTACAACACTGGTTTGTAAATCTCAACTTTAGGTCCTCAGTTTCATTAAAAAAGTATTTTAAGAATTAAGGATGTATATTTTGAAAATAAAAAAATAGTTATGTGTTTGGTGTTCCTTAAATGTTATAGGAGGAGCTGAGGCTCAACTTTCAGAATCAAAACCGAAACTCAGAGGCTGATTTGAACGTGATTTACCCTCTTCTCTTGCGGAAAGGGATTGTTTTATTTTCATGTGTGACCTTCTTATTATTGGTTATTATTACCATTTATTATAATAATTATTGTTATTGTACCAGAAATCATTTCAAATGGCGTTTGAATAATTTGGCTCCATTGAGATTCACGACACGACCGGGCATGCAATGTGTTCCAGGGGGCGAGTCGGTCAGGGGGCGAGTCGGCAAGGGGCGAGATAGTAAGGGGCGAGTCGGCCAGGGGGGCGAGTTTACCTGACACCCATATGTCAACACGCCCGAAACGGCGATGTAGCCATAAGCAAGTCCTATAATTCTGCACGTACGCACGTGTGGTTCGTATCTTGACGTCGTCAGTTAGATTTGAGCAACCCACAGGTACCAGCATCCGACTATGTTACTGACGGTCTATTCATAGACGTTCTGTATTGTTAATACATGCTCAAACGCAAAGGTACCATACTAGTTCGATCAAAACAAATGCAAGAAGTCGGTAAGGAGTGTGGTTCTTTTTGACTCAGAAAACATCCCAATTTTTAATCGATCCAGGCTGAAAATGGCAGAAAGTTTTCAACAAGATGCGGCAGGTGCAGTAATCGAACCACTGGGAAGTTTTGATCGTCATCAAGATTTGCTTTGTGAGGAAAAGATGTCATCATTGATCATCGTTTTGAGGAAGATTTGCGAGATGGTGAAACAGTGTGAAGTCATTAGGTAGGCCTACAATCTGTGCCCATGAAGTTGTATAAAACTAGATACTAGATAGTGGATATTTTGCCGGAGGTAATGACGGCAAACTACCGTTTACTAAAGGTTTGCCGGCGGCAATCCATATCAACAGAGGGCGCTGTACTCTTTAAAATAGGGCTGAATTATTAAGATGTATTAAATTCCCACCAAAAGTTGTGAAGCACGTTTGGTGTAATGGTTAAGCAGAGGCTCTAGAAAGCGGGATGACTCGCGTTCGATTCCGACCGCACCACATTTTTAATTTTTTTTTCTCATCCCCAAATGAATAAGAATATTCTTCTTTTATTATTTTAACATGTCTCAAACATTTTTTGCAGAGTATTACATTTTCTTTTTCAGATTTGTGGCTCTGGAGGATTTTTTTAAAAGGGAAATAAAGTCCAAAATTATAAAATGGTCTGAATCCCATCTTGTGAATAGGAGGTAAAAACGATAATTTTGGCATGGAGCCAGACTAAAACTTGTCACCGGAAAATGTTTAAGTACAAAAAAACAGTAACTGCGCATGTTCAGTGCATATCCAGCAAACTAACGTTTAGTTTGCCGTCTCCGGCAAAGTATACACTGCCATAAAACTAGCGGGATGCCGCGCACCCGCTAGATGGGTGGAGTTGACTGGGACTGTTTTGTGAGAATCCATCTACTAGTATAATCGGATGGAAAGAATGTGGCAACCTGACGCTGCTTTTTTCTTCATATATCATCATCCCAATGATGGTCAGTCATTGCAAAAATGATGATAAGACATGAATCTGGGACTGAGTGAGAAACATTTCCAATTTTGTTAGGAAATACCGGTAGGCTGTATTTACATGTAGACTCTCTACATTTTCTTGACTCTCCATAGACTTTGTACACAACCGCTGAAGTAGCGTACGGTTGCAACATCCTTTCCAATCAGATTCCCTATTTTATTGCGGCATCCCTATTATTAATGGTGGCATCGGAAATTTCTCGTTTTTCGTTGCCAAAACTCCAAGTTCAAGTGGCGATTTTTATCCAGTTCACCACTCCATGCATTACAGACTTTCTGCCGAGTTGTATAAAAAGAATGATTGAAAAGATGTGTCTTTCAGGACTTTTAATTTTTTGTCAAAATAAGGACAGCACAATAAAACGGCACACCGTGTAAATTGAATGCCGCCTCCAATCGTCAATCAGAAGATTGTCTCATTGATTTTTGTTCTCCTTTTGGGGGAGGGGCAGGGTCTTAAGAAACCATCCTGCAGGCATAGTCTTTAATCAATTTGAACGTCGCAGACAATGTACACGGAATAAACCACACCACTGTCGGATTTGTTTATTTCAATTTGAAAAGGAAAATTAAATCATTCAATTCCAAATTTTGACAGGACAATTCAGGAAGGTAAGTGGGCAATCTCTATTCCGAACCCGAGACACGATAAGTACCATAATAATAGGGCGTCCCATCCTACTACTACTAGTTGCTACACACCAGCCAGTCAAGTTTCTCTAAATGGCTGTATCTTGGGCAGCTTCATGGATCTCCTTATAACTTGTAAGAGGGGTGCTATGGTCCAGCGGTTACGGTGTTCGACTCGTGTGCCGTGGTACATGGGTTCGAATCCTGACGGGGAACATAGTGCTTGTGCTCTTGAGCAAGGCACTTAACCATTATTGCTTCGTCCTTCGGATGGGACGTAAAGCCGTAGGTCCCGTGTGTTGTGTAATGCACGTTAAAGAACCCAGTAACACTTATCGCTAAGAGAAGGGGTTTGCCCCGGTGTTTCTGGCAGTGGCTGCAATATGCGCCAAAGCACCTTGTAAACCATTACAAGGTGCTACATAATGGGTCTCATATCTCTCATTAACTTTATTTACCTTTCTTTAATAATAGACATAATCTCCAGCGCCTTGAGTACCTAATTGATGGTAGATACGTGCGCTATATAAGACTCCATTATTATTATTATTACATGTACGTCTTTAGAGAGAAATCTGGCAGTGGCAATGCACTGTGGGGACATCAATAGGTCTTTCTTTCCTACGGTTCCCATGGACAGGTTGGTAGAGGGCGTAGATGTTGACCACGTTGTCTTTTTGGTTTTCTCAGCGCATGTCCAAGCCTTTTAAGCTGCCGCTGGTAAATGGTGATGGAGAGGGGCCGTTGTCCTGTTATCTCATAGTATACAAATATTGAGTGGCTCAGCGTGGAATGGGAGGAATATTATCGCAAGGTAAAATCTGGACTTTTCCATTTCACGAGGCAAAGCAGAGTGAACTGGAAAAGTCCAGATTTTACCGAGCGATAATATTCCTCCCATTTCACAATTTAAAGCCATCGCAAGGACTCAGTTCGCCTCAGCAGAGAGAAAGTGTGGATGAATCGTCTTCGAACTATTCAACCACATGGTCTCAACATCCAACTTGGAAATGATTAATCCTTTTCTTCCTCCATTGTCTTCTGTTACAGATAATCCACCTGGTCTTCCTTGTTTGTGTTTACCCATCTTCCCCATCTTTCATCCCTTTCCACCTCCATACTGTTCCCCCCCCCCCCCCGCATCATCCCCCTTCACTCTCATACTCTTTTGTCCGTTCCCACTCCCTGTGACCTTTGATCCTTCCCCTTTCTGGTCCCTCCCCTGTTTATACCAGACCCCTTGTGGTTTGCCATCTCCCTTTGTTTCTTCGTTCTCTCATCCACCCTCCCCTGCATCTTTCCACACCTTTCCCACCTAATCCTCCTTTTGTGTTTCTTCTTTCAGCCCTGCATGTTTGTGTGCACCCCCATGTTAATGTATGTACCTCTGTCATTTCTGTTTTAGCCTCTGAAGAAGAACTTGCTAAGTTCGCAACGTCAGGCCACATTAATTTTTAAATTTAAAGCCAAGTAATATTTGTTTTATATTTCATAGATCCTTGTCATTTGATATATTTGAGCTTCCATTCAATACAACATTAATGAAAAATGTATTTCTCTCTTCCAAACCACCCTTTCACGAAAATGTTTGAAGCCAGCGCTGTGGCGCTGGCTCTTTGGAACAATACGCACTATGCGCAATGCTGAACGCGCACACCAGCATGCATTTGCACACAAATACCGCGTCATGATCCTAACTGTTCAATAGTATTTCCCATTCCCCATGGACGGATAGTACTTTTTGAGCCCTGGCGTGAATGGGAGCAATAATGAATGTCACGTGATGTGAGTTCCACCAATCAAATGACAAGGATCTGTATGTCGGTTATAAATATAAACTTCATCATTACTGATGTGGTCTCTCCGCCTGATATTCAAAATGATACGGTAGCAGTTTGTAGCAAAGCTATTGAATCCATCTGCTATCTTAGAAAATCAGCCGTCCTGGAAAAGATTTCACTCTTTAGATCTCAACCGAACTTGGCGACAATAATCTTTGGGTAGGGGGACTTCAGACAACTTGAGACTTTTGAGGTCAAAGGTCAACTAGGCGTCAAATGAGGTCATTGTTGTTTTTGGTTAGGTAAACTGAAAAGTGCTGTCATATGAAAAGTCAGACTTCACTCTCAACCAGACTTAGCGACAATAACCTTTGGGTAGGGGGACTTCAGATAACTTGAGACATTTGAGGTCAAATGTCATCTACAGTGTATAGGCATCAAATGAGGTCATTGTTGATTCTGGTTATATACATGTAGGTAAACTGGAAAGGGTTGTTATATCAAAAGTCAGACTTCACTCTCAACCAAACTTGGTGAAAATAATCTTTGGGTTGGGAGACTTCAGATGATTTGAGACATTTGAGGTCAATTGTCATCTAGGCATCAAATGAGGTCATTGTTGATTTTGGTTACATGCAGGTAAACTGAAAAGTGTTGTTATATCAAAAGTCAGACTTTACTCTCAACCAACCTTGGTGACAATAATCTTTGGGTAGGGGGAAATCAGATGACTTGAGACATGGGTCATATTAGGTCATTGTTGATTTTGGTTAGGTACACTGAAAAGCATGCTGCCAGTATGCCAGGGATCAAGCTAGTTTCTCTTGCAGTATTTTTTGGAAAATGCCAGATGAGAAACTACTTATTGTTTTTTTACTTGGCCTGAAAGTTAGCAAGATTCTTTTGTTTTGTGATATATCCCTCATTTAGAAAAAACCTTCCAGCATCAACTCTGAGGACGATGTGCAGCATCATCCAAGGCTGTGTGACTCCTTTCGATGCAGACGAGGATGCCCCACTCCTCAGCAATCCGTCAGTGCTGGAAGCGTGTTCCTGGTGCTTGAGATGCCTCAGGAATGCGTGTGTGCAGTCACCACCTAACCAGCAGACTGTATGGTGAATATTATACTGATGATAATAGTATACAAATATTGACTGCTTCGAGTGGTGAAGTAAAACTAGCCTCCCGAGGTGCTCCTTTCGCCTCCGGAAAATAGAATGCTCCATGGATCACCGAGGGAGGATAGTTTTACTAGACCATGAGATAAAGCATTCAATATTTGTTTTATAACACCTCTCCCACAGATTCTGCTTGATTTTAAGCGATAACTGATTAATTTAATCTGAATACAATAAAAATTCACTTCTATTTGAATAAGAAATTAGTTGAAAATCAACTTGCACTTTTTCTAACTACCTCTTCACAAAATGTTTGAACCCAGCTCTGTAGCGCTCGCGCTTGGAAACAATACGCGTAACGTGCAACACACACACCCCCCTATGCATTTTGCACACAGTGCGTATAGTACTTTGGTTGCTAATGGTATAGCACTTTGGTTGCTGTGGGTATAGTACTTTTGGCCGTGCACTGAAAGATAGCAAAAAAAGAAAGTACCATGTGACTCGCTCTCGGCCAATCAAGACACAGAATCTGTGGGTGAGGTGTTATAATGTCTTGTGTTGTAATGTACATGTACAATGTCAATGTCCGTAAATCTGGGTCCAAAAGTGTGACTTTTTTGGCGTACTTGTTTGCGACCTGTGTAATTTGCCATGCAAGTATCATTAAAATTGACTTCAAACTATTTTAAATCTTTTGGCTGGTATTCTGCTTTACATACCGGTAGTAACTCTTGGAGATGGAAGACATTACAGAATGTGTCGTGATTTACAAAATGTTGCATATATACAATATATCAGCTGTAACATGGGCACAAAATAGTTGTACCCTAAATCTATGGAATGACCCATGTACATTGCACGTACAGAGCTACATACATCAGAATGCATGCAGAGGCCAGCAGCATTTACACTATGATTATATAATGTATATATTTTTATAGATTAGGATTTGCAGTTATTTTGTGACATTATTTTGATGTGCAAAGTGCAAAAAGAGAGGAAAGTTCCAAGAACAAATGTGTACATGTACACTATACATGTAAATGCCCAGATAGTAGTTTTCAAAATGACGAACCCAACTACCTGTATTCCGACAGAAAACCCGACAAAAGAGATATGGGGAAAAATTCACCAAGTAGTTATGTATGTATGTCAGTGGCGGATCCAGGGGGTGGGTGGGTGGGTTCTCCCAGAAGGGAAAGGTCTTCGCCAGTTTAGCATATATATGCATCTTGTGCCATGTGTCCAAGTTTTGTCCACTTACTGACGGACAATATACCGTAGCTATAGTATAAGAGGAGAAGGGAGGGGATCACTTGTCAACAAGTTCCTGTGTTATCTGAGTTGCTTTTTGCTGCAACCACCTCTTGACTTCCCAGAGTCCACTGTGCAAATCACTTTAACTGCAGTCCAACCAAATAACCAGTTTTCTCATGGTGTACAATGTTGCAGGGATGCAGGAGCAGTGGATTCCTTGAAGCAGCTGATCCAGATCATCTCCTCGGCGCCGTCTCCCAAGCAGGAGGAGGAGCTAGTCGTCTGCCTGAGATGTGCTGTACAGCTCCTGGGTAATCTCATCAGTGGTCAGGAGGAACTGCAGGGTCTGGCATGGCAGGCAGTTTTCCCTCAGACTTTACTGTAAGCTTTCTCATATCATAATAATAATAATAATAATGATGATAATAACAGGTTCTTATATAGCGCTTTTAACTAAGTTCAAAGCGCTTTACATTATTATTACCCCTAATCATTGGGCCAATTAAACATTCCATATATATGTACCATCTCAGCTCCCTGGGGAGTATACAGCTCGATGCAGCCTGTTAGGCGCAAGCAAGCTAATTCAATCACAATAACCATCACTGCCCTCATAGGTACCCATTTACTCCTGGGTGGAGAGAAGCAATGAGTGAAAAAGTGCCTTACCCAAGGGCACATGCACTATGACCCCGCCAGGACTCGAACCCACAACCTGCAGCTTTACCCGCAGACAACGAATCCAATGCCCTTAACCACGAGGCTACAGCACTCCACATGTCATGATAAGAGTTGTAAGTGCTTCAGGCAAGATTCGCAGGTCCAATCACAAGATGACTTGTAATAAGCCAGTTTGGTACTTCAACTGCGTATGCCCACAATGGTATAGGTCACGGGTCATTCGTGATAATAAAATGCCCATCGAGGCGCGTAAATACGCAGGGAGACGGGCGCACAATGCTTGCGTGTTAATTACAAGCAGAATGGGCATCCGCGTAACATTTACAATTCGATGCATTTATTTCGATGCTGCATAAGGATGATACATAATACATAATGTTATATATTCAAATTGACAATACATACTAGATATATTTACAATAGTGAACATTAACTAAATGGCAACATCTAGGTCCAGGGTCAAGCATCAGCTTTTGTTCCCCAGCCTATGGACAGACAGACAAGTGACAGACATACATGGAAAGACAGAGCACAGACACCGGTGTAAGACAGTAATCAAGGCCGTTATTATCCCTATTACATTTTTTAGTGTGCAATTAACAAATGAGTTTTTAGTTTTCTAGCAGAAATAGAGAGAGTGGGTGATGATTTAAAAGAGTCATCAAGACTATTCCAATATAGAGTGCCACGTTGGACAACACTATTTTTGGACAATGAAGTTCTACTATAATTAACATACAGATTTTTCTTAGTGGCACCGCGGGTATTATATGAATGAACGTTTGAAGTAAGTGTAAAACGGGTTAAAACAAGCAGGTAATGCACGATTCATATATTTATACATAAATTTTCCTAGGTTGAGATGATACAGGTAAGTGAATTTTAACAATTTTAAATTTGCAAATAAAGGCCCAGAGTGTTCACAATAGCCAGTTTTAAAAATTACTCGAACTGCTCGTTTCTGGAGAGTAAGCAGTTTGTTGCATTTAGGAGTTGGACTGCCCCAAGTCAGAATTGAGTAATTTAAATACGGTAAAACAAATGAGTTGTACATTGTGTATCAACACGTCAGCAATTTTATCCCGACTGACCTTTTACCTTACCTAGTGTAACGGATGGGACCCCCCCCCCTTCTCTTTTATTATTCACCTAAAAAAATTGATTTACGCCGGACTTCTGAAATATGTTCCTTTGTTATTATCAGAAACTTATACTGAAAATCCTCATTTTTAGACCGGCTTGTATTTATCTACATGTATAAGCTCACTGTACCCACTTGTATCTTGCTGTATACACACTGTATATACATGTAGACGCACTGATGAAGTATTATTGCGTGGACCTTTTTAAAGCTATAGTCCATCATTTGCAGCCATCCGAAAAGTAACTGGCGTAATTATTGTTGAAAAACATACTTGGTTGAAAGTGATAAGGGGACTTAACTTCCTGTGAAATGATTCTTTCTGGCAAGCTGTCATTTTGAAGCAATCAACGAAAGAAGGCCTTTAAGACGTACCGTAGGAAAATTTTAAGTAGTAGTTTGTTTGTTATTCAGCGAAGCACGCACAAGCATTGGCATGACGCACACGCGAGCGCGGTTGCTATAATTCGTCGGATCAGTGCGCAACATCGCGTATAGCTGCAATCGGCTAGTGAGAACGCGTCTCGGACGCTGAATTCAGGCCCAATTCAAAACATGATTCAGCAACTTTTGATTTGAAATTGAGATCCTAGGGAGCTGTTTTTCTCGGAATATACAGCTGAAGCTGAGCTGAAACCTCATCAGGTTAGTTGTTCAGTACCCTTCATTAGATATTGAACACTTTTGTTGCTCCAAACGAACAAAATGCACAAATTACAAATGATGGACTGTATCTTTAAACAATATGAACAGCAACTTACGGGATTTGAATTCTGGGGTTGAATTACCTTAGTACCCATGTTTGTTTGTTTTTTCAATCGGGAACCTGGTTCCATTCTACCCATTCGTGCACACGCCTATTGGCAAATCCTCAAACCCTCTGCAGATTATTTCATGGATTTTGCCTTGTTTTCCTCCAGTCTCACCTCTAATAATAGAAAACTTAACCCTAACTCCCTAGGCCTTTTTGCTAGGATGTAGCCTCAATCCTGCAAAATCCTCCAATTGGCCTCATGGAAAAAATAGCATATAGCCTCAGTCCTGCAAATTCCTCCACTATTTCTTGAATATGGTCCATGGAAAGGTGACCACTGCCTGAATCCTGCAAAATCCTCCGGCTATGACTGTTAATAGGCTGAGGCAGAGGCAGTGACATCCTGGAGCAGTGTGGAAGATTTTAAGTGTATCAAGGACTAAATTATGCTAGGCTGAGCATAAACAACACAAGGTCCGGCCCAAGACCTTGACACAGTGCGTACTCCGAAATCAGCAATGCACTTTTGCCATGTAACCTCAATCCTGCACATTCCTCCAACTTGCACAAAGGATTTTGGAGGACTCGGGACGGTTACGGTTAATTATATAACAATACACAGCCCAGTAAAACTTTCAATACAGCTCTGAGTATTAATTCCTTAGTCTTTATGTGTTGAATAAACCCAGCTCTGTGTTTCAGTGCGCGGACCCTAAAGCCTCACTGTATCTCTGCATGGTCGTCAATATGTGCGTGCAAGGATCGTCACCTAGGGGATATGCACAGCAGCTGTGGACCAGTGATGATGGCTACCGGTTGGTGGAGGCTGCCGTTGCACTGTGCGAGACAGAGTCCGAGCAGGATTTTAGGTGAGTTTTAATTCAAAGTAACACATGTTTATCGTGATATTCATTGCATATGTGTGCAAATGTTGCCCCTTCTAGAGAAATAGTGTAATCAGAAGAGGGAAAACATTAACCCTAACTCCCTAGACCTTTTTGCTAGGATGCAGCCTCAATCCTGCGAAATTCTCCAATTGGCCTCATGGAAAAATAGCATATAGCCTCAATCCTGCAAATTCTTCCATTATTACTTGAATATGGTCCATGGAGGGGTGACCTGCCTGAATCCTGCGAAATCTTGCGGCAGTGACTGTCAATATGTTGAGGCTTGGACAGTGACATCCTGGAGCAGTGCGGAGGATTTCAAGCATAAACCAGGCCTATATTTATGCATGGCTGAACAAAAACAACACAAGGTCTGGCCCAAGACCTTTTGACAAAGTGCATCCTACGAAATAAACATACTTTTGCCATACCTCGATCCTCCAAATTCCTCCACTTTGGCAAAGAGGATTTTGAAGGATTCAGGGCGGTTAGGGTTAAAGATGCATTCCCCATGCTATCTTTGAGTCCCACCTCGGAAAAAAATAGATTTGTTTCTTCAATTGCTGTTTTCCTAGCAATATGAAAGTGATTCACTCTTGAATGAGACATCGAACAAATAATTTCACAAAATTTGAAGCGAAATCCATTTTTCAAAGGGTTACAGACACGCAAATCAGAATGAAGCTTTTTTTCTGTTTAAACAAACCACACAAATTGAGAATTTTTAACTAGAACATGATCCATTTTTTAACCAGTTCACGTAGGATTCATGCAGTTTTGCGGTATTTGGAACGGATGACAGATAAACATGCAACGAGGGAGGCCAGAAATATCTGACTACGACCCGCTCGCAGCGAGCAAGGCCAGAAATATCAGGGTGTGCTACCCGCAGAACCCGTCTGGCGTCGAGGTTCATGAAATACAATCCCGCGTCTGGGTCCGGTCAATGTCAAAATAATGCCGGCGCGAACTGGTTAACAAGCACTGGGTTTATGAAATTACTGTATTCCACATGACAAAAAATCATCCTAATTTTATCAACTTTTGTGGCCAAGTATATATGTTGGTCATTATGAACATCTTCATCCTTAAAATTTTGTTAAAGAGCCATTTTCCCTTGAAATTACAGTGAACTAAATTTTCACGGATTTTTCAACATATTAAGTCAGATAAGGAGTCCGTGAAAACACCCTTATGAAAGTCCTTTGTTTACCCTTGGAGATAGACCCAGTGTACCGTTATGTATAACCAATGATAATCATCAGTGGCCAGAGTTATTTAAAAAACTGTGAAAATACTCTTACAGGATTAGTCCTGTATAAGCCCCATGTAAATGTCCGTGAAACATCTCTTAAAGATTCTTTTCACGGAGAAATCGACTTTTAATGAAAATTGAAGGGATCAGATGTTCATCGATCCCATTTTTAACTCAAAGCTCATGGGTAGTTACAGGGTCCAACTTGGAGTACTAGTGTATGTGTCCTGAAGCAAGACACTTTGTCATGAATGAAAATTCCTTTAGGCTGGGCATATGGGCTTCGTGCGCCAACGAAAGAGGGCGCCCTTTTACCTAGCAAGACGTCCCTTGGGCGGGACATTTGGCTGGTTGACGCGAACCGTTCCTTGTGTGTAACGCACGTACATCAGGGGATTTGTACTATGTACACACAGTGGTACGGCCGCATGTCGCGGCAAAATTGCAGTCAGGCAAGATGGCGTCGGTCGGTCACCCCCAACTGTTCCTTCTTTGCCGGTGAGGGGGTACTTGTGAACGGAGCGGATGGTTCATGTGACGGCAGAGATTGTGCATAGATCATAATTTCTTTGATTTATTCAGCGATGGATCTTCATCACACCCCATTTTATCGTGTTTCAATTTCTTGTAATATCAGATAACGTGTAATTATAAAGCGCCGCACATTACATGTATATCCACAATTATTGGTACTCAATGCCCAATCATTACCCCTGCTCATTAGGCCAATGAGACATACCAACGGCAATCTCGGCTCCCTGGGGAGTATACAGCTCGATGCTTCCATTTTGGCACAAAGCAGCTAAAAATTTATCCCATTAGCCATCTCTGCCCTCACAAGTACCCATTTATTTCTCAGTGGGGAGAAGCAATGACTGAATGAGTGACAAAGTGCCTTGCCCAAGGGCACACGCACCACAACCCCAGGCTGGACTCAAACCCACAACCTGCAGAATTATCCACAGACGCCAAGTTCATTGCTCCAGACCATAAGGCCCTGGCACTCTGAAATTTCAGCTCTGGTGAGATATTGAAACCCAATGCAGCCGACATCGTGATACTAAGCGCCGAGGTACGTAAGCTGGGAGTTACATGCACTAAAGTTGCAATGTTCCCCTTATCCACTTATAGTCTACAGCTTTTGCAGAGCCTGATTGTCATCCCCGAGTTCATCCCAGCTGTCTTCAACCGCCTCACCCCACCCTCCAAAATCATCCTCCTAGACATCTTAGCAGCTTACCTATCCCATGGCAGCGATGACTCTGCCTCTCTGCCCGTGGAGGCTGAAGATGAGGCAAGTGGGCGAAAGGAATCTTTTCCTTGCCTTCCTGCTGTCGAGTTCTTGGCTCAGGTCTTTGAAGAAGAGGCTGGCTCCGTCTTTGGTCTGGTGTCGGAAGAGCAGTGGGGTAACATTGAAAAGGACAAGGTGAGAGAAATCGCATTAATTTAGTTTGGGGGTGACCTTGACTGGTTCCCGATCCATCCACTGTGTATTTCGAATGTATCCAAAGTTTTTGGAGGCGGGGATTAGTCTCTTAGACCATCGCAAGTTTAATTCGCACACGGATGACGCCTGACGCTCATGCCAATACGCGGTGGCTAATAGCTTTGGCACATTCAGGAAGTCGTGCGTACTTCGCTCGCGAACCAATACAGTATACGCACGGTGTGTTCCCTGTCCAAGGAGCTCTCAAAAGTGGTAAAAATGTGCCCTCTTTTGTAGGCGCACGAAGCCTATAGGCCTAAATCCATTAAGGCGGGATTGGAGGTAATTGCCTGCATGGGGTCCGTGGACAAGTGGAGTTCGAGTGTCTCTGGAGAAGACATTCGAATAAGTGTTGAGCATTGGGTCAGTTTGACAAGGCCAAACCAAACCGAAACATTATAGATATTTATAAACGAGTCTGAACCGAAACTGCTCTTACTCCCTAAACTGACCCGACCCGACAAAAAGTTTCAACGAAAACCGACCCGAAACCGAACCGGAAAAAACCCTGAATATCTGGCTTGGGCTTTCCTGGTACTCATCATTCAACATGGCTTCCATTTGACTTCCTTTTATCCACGCTGTGGGGTGAGACGTTGTCTTTCCTTAATGGCCCTGTTCCACGCAGTCCGATTTCTGACATCCATATTAGCGAAGTTTGACGGTCTTGAGGTCTTCTGCAAGTGTCTCATGCCAGGTCTTCCGTGGCTTGCCTTGTAGTCTTGGGCCGACTATTTCAAAGACTATTGAGCCGACTATTTCATATCTCTAGGATGCATCGCAGCTGCGACGCGTCCTGCGATCCTTCGACAAAACACGTCGTAAGTGCGACGCATCGTAGTTGTATTTATAGCACAACTCGGTGACTGTTTTATGTATTTAGTCCGCGAACAGTAAATGGTTGTCGGACATTCAACAAAGAGTCGTCGGATCTCAGCATGAAATTTGTTAAAACGTAAAACAAAATGGCGGCCGTGCGATGCAATTTTGAAGAAATACAGGCTGTCGGTGGACTGTATAGCTACTTTGCAATTTCAATTGCAATAATCCAGTCAAATTTATAATTTTTCAATGGATTTTCTATTTACAACTTTACACACATTGCATCGGTATTATAATCTCGTTTATGTAATGTTTATGGCATAAAACTGGCTTAGAAAATGACATTTCTTATTTTGTGATGACCACTAGACTCGTAACTTCCGACGTGTTTTAAGCCGTTGTCAAGGAACTTACGACGCGTTCAACACATCGCAACTTTCGTGAAATGGATCATACGACGCGTCGCAAGTTGTGACGTATTACACGTCGTAACTCGAGTTGCGACGCGTCGCAGCGCTTCGTGAAATCGGGTGCATGTCTCGCTGCCGTACATGTAGGTCATGCATTTCCGTATGCACGCAGCGCGCACACTTTGCCTTTTACTTTTGGGGGTGGTGCTCTGGAGGTCAGGAAGGGGGCCAACTCACGAAACTTTTTCCAAAACACTTTTTCCAGTTACTGCAGCCGCCGCACTGCAGGGTAGAATTGATTTACAAGGAGTGAATACAAGTGGGTTTTTCTGTGAATCTAGGGTCCAAAGTGCGACATTTTTCCTGTCCCATTTTACCTTGATACTTTGCAATTTGCCATTTAACTTGTATTAAGACTAACTTTGAACACTGTTTTTTATTTATTGGGTAGGTAGTTTGCTATTCATAATCAATCTTGAAGAAATGACACCCATTTCATACCCTAAATCATTTAATATTTAAGAATCCTCCACTTTGTAGCAAAACAAATGACATCAATGGAGTCATATAAAAACCTGCTTTAAAAATGTTATTAATGCGGAGAAAATATTGGGGGACATTGACATCCTGCCCCCTATCCCCCTCCATCTAGCCTCCCCCCCCCTATCTCCCCCTAACCCCACCTACCCCCCCCCCCCCTCCATCATTGCCATCCGCTCCACCCGACCCAACCCATGTGCATCAATCATTTTAACTGGCCTATTCCACCAAATTACATGTTTTGCATTGTAGGTGAGGAGATGGCAGTATGTTGAATGCACCATGAATTTTGGGTTATGATCATGTCAGGCAATAAGAGAAAGGTTTATGGTAGCAACATGTGACAAATCTCGTTTGTGAGGTTCTGAAAAGAACCGAGGTAAACTCAACGTTATGAATGGTATACAATGTACATGGTATACAAATAGTGAGTGGATCAGCGTGGAATGGGAAGAATATTATATCAAGGTAAATCTGGACTTCGCCGAGTGAACTGGAAAAGTCCAGATTTTACCGAGCGATAATATTCCTCTCATTTCACAATATAAAGCCACTCAGTATTTGTTATTTGATATATTTGAACTTTTATTTCAATACAAAATTGGTGAAAAATGTATTTCTCTCTTCCAAACCACCCCTCCACAAAAATGTTTGAAACCAACGCTGTAGCGCTGGCTCTTTGGAACAATACGCGCTACGCGCAACATTGAATGCGCACACCACCATGCATTTGCACACAAATACCGCGTCACGGAACAAGACTGATCCTAACTGTTCAATAGTATTTCCCATTCCCCATGGGCGGATAGTACTTTTTGAGCCCCGGCGTGAATGGCAGTAATAACGAATGTCACGTGATGTGAGTTCCGCCAATCAAATGACAAGGATCTGTATGTCGGTTATATAATATACATGTACTCTGCCCATCCTCATGAGACTGAAGGGATTCCAAGATACATAACTCCACAATACCGGTACATAGAGAATTCTATCAGGAAACTTCATTCCTAATTTGGCATAGACTCGAGTCTTAAGTCCATGAATTTTCCAAAGGTTACATGTAGTAGCAACAGTTGAAACATTTGCACAGGAACTGTTGTTCGGATTTGTATTTACAAAAAATGTATACTGTGTTTTTGTCACAACTGTGCGCAGGGTTTCAACGTCTCTGCCTCTTTTTTCCTTTTGCACTTTTTCGCTACAGCAAAAGTGAGGATTTTTTGCGTTGCAGAGTTCGGCATTCAACAGACTTGGGCAAAAAATTTCAATTGTTGCCTTTCAACAAACACTTGAAATCCAGTTGCCTGGGTGATTTCGGCGATCCGCTTGTTGGAGTAGACACATCCCCAGTCGATATCCTCCTCAGCTTCTTCCTCTTCTTCAACCACGGGGTTGTTTTTTGGGGGATTTTTTTTGTCTTGTTTTGGGGCTTAATTTTTTATGGTGCTTAAACCCAGACTTCACCAGTTTGTGCAACTGTGAGATGTAGAAATTGCTCATCATGTTAATTTTCCTGGCTGTCAGATTCCAAGTACACAGACACGTTTCAGGCATCGCACACATAATTGAACCACCCTCCCGCCCCACTCAACCCCACTCAACCCCACCCTTGTGCATCAATCATTTTCTCATGTCACCAAATTACATGTTTTACATTGTAGTTGAAAAGATAGCAGTATGTGGTATGCTTTCAGGCAATAAGATAAAGGTTTACGGCAGCAACATGTAGCAAATCTCTTTTGTCATGCTTGTGAGTTTGTGACGTTCTGAAAAGAACCGAGGGAAACGTGACGTTATGGATGGTAAACATGGTATACTCTGCCTGCCTCATGAGACTGAAAGGATTCCAACAGTTTCAGGCATCACACGTATAATTGAACCAACAATGCATCACACAGCAGCATTTTATTGAGACAAGATAAGTTTTGCAGCAGCACCATGTGAATAAATCTCTTTTGTGAGTATGTGTGGTTCTGAAAAGAACCGGAGGGACTCAACGTTTCGGACAGTATGCTCTGCTCGTCAGGAGAATGAGGGATTCCAACGATGATGCAGTGTTATAAGGATGGGTGCGGGTGAGGCGTGAGAAGGATGCAAACTGGTGAAGCTCGAAACCGGTGAAGCTCCGGTTCTTTTCAGAACCACACATACTCACAAAAGAGATATTCCCCTCCGGTTCTTTTCAGAACCACACATACTCACAAAAGAGATTTATTCACATGGTGCTACCGCAAAACTTATCTTGTGTTAGTATCTTTCCACCATGCAAACTTTCAAATCTCAGCATTTTATTGAATTAGCTGCAGTTACATGTACCTCTCTTATCACTTTTCCTGCCAGAGACAACAAGAGCATTTGTGACCGGCTCTACAAAAAAAGGGTATTAAGTCGCGCTGAGCATTATTGTGTAATGGCCCCCTCAACATTGAGAGAGTGAAAATTTTGTCAAAATGTGATTTTCATTTTTTTATCATGAATGACATCTTTAATACCTACAGTTTCAGGTTTCCGTAACAGAAATGTTAATTTTGATGAACAAAGTGAAAAAAACCCAACAATTTTGTGTGTATCGTTCTGTTGTTCTACAACAAAGCCAGCTATTTCAAAGCCTGTTTTCTCAGTTGTGTAATTTGAACTCCAAGGAAGTACATGTAATCAACATGCAAATACCTCACATCTCCAGAATGGGAGGAGCTATGGAGCTCTATTATATACCAAATGAAAGCTTACACTGTGTAGTTTCCAACCATGTATATAACTCAATTTCATTTGCGACATAATACCTTTTTTGTGGAGCCGGTCACATTTCAGAGTAGCAAGGTTTACTGACTTCCCAGGAAGCAATGACTTGTAGGTAGGAAGTGGGTTCATTAAGTGACATAAATCAGTCACGTTAGGAATGTACCATACCCTCTAGTCCCTCCCAGACCCCGTGGCAGCCACCATGAATCAGCAGTTTGCTTGATAATGGTCCTTCAGTTCTAATAGCTGTAATGTCTGGTCATTAAAGATCTTGATTAATGCCATTAACAACAGTTAAAGCCAGAGTCCATCATTTGCAGCTATCCAAAATGTAACTGGCGTAATTGTTGATGCAAAACATACTTTGTTGAAAGATAGTAAGGGAACTAAACTCAATGTAAAATAATTCTTTCTGGCAATATTTCTTCATTTTGAAGAAATCAATGAAAGAAAACCTTTCCAACGGTGCGTCTTAAGAAGCACCGTTGGAAATTTCTGTTAGTAGTTTCGTTTTTTTATTCGGCGAAGCACGCGCAAGCGTTGACACGACGCACACACGCACGTGGTTGCTATAATTTGTCTGATTGTTGTGCGACATCGCGTAGCTGCAATCAGCCCAGTGAGAACGTGTCTCGGATGCTGAATTCATGCCCAATTCAAAACATGATTCAGCAACTTTTGATTTGAAATTGAGATCCTAGAATGTTGTTTTTCTCAAAATATACAGCTGAAGCTGAGCTAAAACTTCATCAGGTTAGCACCCTTCTTTAGATTTTGAGCACTTTTGTTGCTTCAAACTAACAAAATGCACAAATTACAAACGATGGACTATGCCTTTAAGGTTTTTCCCCTCGGGTGATATGCTGTGTCGCCTTTTTTAGCAAAATCTGGACCACGTTTTGTGTAGCTGCTATTAGTGAAGCAAAAGTTAAGAACTGGTCGCAAATAATACCTAGAGATGTTTCGCTGGTTCCCGCACGATCAAGATGGTAGAAACTCACAGTTGTCAACCACTCAATAGAGCGTAGCGCGTGGTACTGTTGAACACAGACGCCCACGCAGCGAGCGCGCAGCAGGCCAGGTATAGGGCTCGTTCAATGACGGCCATTTCTGTAGGAGAAGTGCAACTACGTATTTTACGCAATCTAGCACGCATTGCGCAGTGTTAAAAATGTTCCATACACGCGCGCGCTTGTTGCTCGAAATGTGTTCGAAATACGACGCAGCCGATGCTCGTTATGCAAGTTGACGCTCAAAATGCCGATGCACGTGGATGGTCTGTAGGAAATGACGTCATTTGAACGAGACCTATACGCGCACTATTGTCAACTATCACAATGACAGCTTCAACTAGATCGACGAAAAAGGAGAAATAAAGACAATGTCTTGAATTGTATTTCTTGCAAATCAAGTCAGCCTGATATTTAGATAATAATAAGAATATTGGATGGCTTTTTCGGGAGATACAAGAAAACATTGCACTCGCAATATGACAATATATTGCACTCATCTTTGACTCGTGCAATATTGTCATAGCGAGTGCAATATATTCTTGTATCCACCTCAAAGCCATCTAATATTATATAATTAGCTTTAATGTAACAATGTCATGCCTGCAAAGCATGTTTCCTTATTTTGCTGAAGGAGGATAAGTAACTTCACTGTGTTGTCTTGTATTTCTTTTAGAAACCCCTGTTTGTGATGAGACTACTCAACACACTGTGTGAGGCAACTGCACATCCCGAAGCAAGGAAAATCCTGCAGCAGAGAATGTCTTTGCTGGAATGTAGCCTAGGTAGGTATTTTCTTGTGAATATCCATAATTATTGACTTATTGGATAATTGCACAATGTGAAAGGATTTTTTTTTTTTTTGGCGAGTTTTTGTGGTTCTGTGAAAAACTCAAATTTCACGTGGTGCAGCAACAACCATACTCCTATTCCTGATTTCATCATGCTAACCTTGAATCTCACTTCAGTGGGTTTACATGTTCTTGTATTGCCAGCTTTATTCATGTTTTTGCATTGGCTCGCCAGGATAGGCAGTAGAGTTATAAACACCGCAAAAAAAGAAAGTCCACACAAATTGGAGGGGTCATCATTTTGAATCTGATCGTCTTATAACATATGATCCTGTTATTTAGATAGACGTTTAGATAATTTTTTTAGCTACATTTTGATACCCCGTGTGCTAGCAAAGACTGTAAATCGTCCAACATTGACAACGGTTCATGAAAAATGATGCAGTTTGAAAAAGTTGCAAATTTAAAGATGACGTGAGGAGAAATTAAGCACAAACATACACGCCCGTAATTGGCCCCTATCAACTGCACAGTGCCCAAAACAAAGCGCGAGTAATTCAATTTTGCGTTTTCCAATGCATTCAAGCACTGTGCGATCAATTTTCCCTGCCGTTTCTTTCGGGCAGTGTAACATTGTCACACAACAATTTCTTTATATTTGCAACTTTTCAAACTCTACCGTTTTTTATAAACCACTGTCATTGTTGGACGATATACAGTCTTTGGTAGCAAACGTGGTGACAAAATGTAGCTGTTAAATCAAAGGTCTATAAAGACCCCTCCAATGACGGTGGACTTTCTTTTTTGGCGGTGTTACTAAAAAATATACACCGGCCATTTGTTTACTGTCATAGAAAAGAGTGTAATGAATATGTTTAAATAATTGTATACTGTACTTGCAGGCCTAGTTTCAAGAAAGAAAAAAAAAATTGAATGGAGTTACATACATAAAAGTGATACATCAGCATGATGACACTTGTTCAAACCTCAGACAACTCCCCTCCCCTTCCTCCCCCCACGACCAAAAAATCCCAGAAAAATGTCTGGTCCCTTAGCAGATTTATTGAATTTACCGTTTAGCTGTGCAATCTTCCCAAGGGTGTCTGGTGTGTGGCAACCATCCATCACCACCTAGGATACACTGTGGAATTTGCGGGCGTGACCATTGTCAGTCCGCTAATATGAAAATTGCCCCTGTCAGATGCAGTTTAGAGATTGACCTATAATGTTATCTAGGCTTCCTCATGTGTTCCATCGTAGAAATACAGCTTGCTTAATAGCCAAAAAATATACCTCCAAGAATAGAAAATAAGTTAATGGTTATTTTTAAAACACCAAGTTACCGTAGCACTGACCATGCTGAAGTATGTTTCTTTCCATGACGTACATGTAGATACGTGTCGAACCAAAATAATTTGGTTGACAAAAAATCTTTTTTAGTAGGGTTAAAATTATTTATTGATAAGATGGAATTTTGCGTTGGGGTGATGTAAATCAATAGTAGGTTTTACCTTTCACTGACGTTTAAACACTGTATACTCAGTGTGTTACCTCCGAGTGAAAGTTGGAAAAAATCACTCGGGTGGGACTCGAACCCACGACCTCCTGCTTTCTAGTGCAGACATCTTATCACCGAACTTGCGAGGAACCCACGACCTCGAATGTGATGTACATTTAGCAGCGCGTACCGCAATTAAACTATTCATAAGATAGAATTTTGTGTCAGGGTGATGTACGGTAAATCAATGATAGGTTTTGTCCTTCACTGACGTATACTCAGTGTGTTAATTACCACCCGAGTGAAGGTTGAAAAAAAATAATTGGGGTTGGATACGAACCCATGACCTCCTGAAAATATTTAGTTGATTTATGTAGGATTATTCAGAAATTGGCCAGGATCGACCACGAAAGTCGTTTGACTTATTTCCAGTGGGGTCTCTTGTATCTACAAGTGCAATCTTGAGGTGGATGCCACTTCCTGCAAAGATAGGGAATTCTTGCAAAGTCATTGGATTTTTGGTTCTTTCTTTGAAAGTCCAGACAGATTTTACGAATTTTCTTGAAATGTTAAGCAACATTTTTAAAGTGTCTTTTGCTTAATACTACATTCTAATAGGCAACAGTAGAAGAAAGTGTTGTGTCACTGTACAGGGTGAGTAAAAAAAAAAAAACGGAACCCAAATGGCAGGACCAATTCCTGAACGAAGTTTTGGCTGTAGCAGTTTCAAACTTTAGGATATGAAAACCCAATCAATGAGCTTTCTTTTAGTACAAGAATCATTCACATCACTCATGTACTTTTCAAGTTAGAAAATGTGAACACAAACACCGTTTTAAAGTTCTGTCCACGAATCACAAAAAAGGGAAGTGTTCTTTCAGCAAAACGAAAACAATTCACAAAGGGATGTGTGTGAATCGATTTCGTCTTCCTGGAAGAACACGTATTTTTTTTGGTGATCCGTGGACAGAACTTTAAAACGGTTTTGCGTTCAAAATTCCCTAAGTTGAAAAGTACATTGAGTGATTTGAATGGCCTTTTATATCCTAGAGTTTGAAAGTTCTACAGCAAAACTTCATTTGAAAATGGGTCCTGTCATTTGGGTTTCGTTTTTTTTATACTCGCCCTGTATAGGTAATGTGAGTAGTGGCCCTTGTTTTACAGAATTGATTTTTGCAAAAGGGTACGGTACAAGTCCTGTACAACGTTTGAGGAATCTTGTACATGTAAAGGGCTGTTTGTTTCATTCCAGATCCTGATCGAGATCATGCTATCTAGCACCATGCGAAAACAAACAGAACCACACTCGCGCATCAAATCCTTAAGGGCGCACACGTCTGCTTCAGATTTTGTACACAGAATCAACCCTACTATTTTTAAACTTTACGAAAATACACTCTAACAGAATTTTGAAGTCTACTAAACAAAATCTCACTTTTTCTCCCGTCCGTCATGCACGTCGGGTTCGTTGATCTTGCGAACCCACCTCGTGAGCAGGATCAGTTAAAATGTGATCCGGAGCAGCTATCAGCGCGTCGGATCACTGATCACAATCCAGACCTGCGCGAAACAAACAGGCCCCTAATATGAACTCTGGCCTCAGTAAAGTTTGAGAAGTATGAAGGGATTAATTGCATGTATTTCAAGTAATGAGATCCTGCAAATGCTACATGTACTTCTTGATTTTCTCACATCACTCTGAATACAGTTGTTGTTAAATACATGTATATTTCCTATGTTTTTCATGTTATGTGTCTTCGTCATGAGTATTGCCATTGAGTCAGGTAAAGTTAAGTTTTCATACATGTACCAGTAATCCAGTAGAAATTTTCTGAACCTAGAAATGTTCTTTCCTATGAACTTTTTTTGTTGATTTGCATTCCCATGGGGTCCTAGAACAAATTCAGCTTGGTTGCCCAAATGGTACGTTTGGGCAACTCTGCTAATTTGCATAAATTCAAAATGGCCGCCGGACGCCATCTTGGAAATTTATCTTTTGAACCACTTGTCCTAGAATGATGTATAATATATCCATTAAGGGGTTTTGTGATGTGTAGAATCCATTTCTGGGGTTATTTTTTTAATTCAAGGTCAAGTTCAGGTGATAATGGCCAGTTCAAGGTCGAATTTGACCTCTTGGTGGACAATGAAAAAAAAATCAACTAAAACTTACACTTTAATAGTTAATGATGCCAAAAATAGATAATCAAACAATATCAGCCCCAATTACCCGTAAAAAATGGTGAGAACTCAAATTTGTGTTATTTTTTTCCATTTCAAGGTCAAGGTCAAGGCTAACTGTCATATTTGTTTTAGATGTTTTGGCACATAAAGGACCCTATACATTGGAGTAAATCTTTGCCGGTGAGTGGGGGAAATTTGACAGGCAGGCTGGAGGGGGGGGGGGGGGGCTGGACACCACATTACACTAGGGGGCGCCCTTCAAAATATAGATGTAACAATATATTAACATGTATACTCACGCTTACGGTACATCAAAACTGCGCATTTTTAAAGCTTTTTTGCTTTTAGTTAAACACATTGGGTTTGTTGGGATGTTCGAAAAATACCTCAAGATCTGCATTTTGATTTCCTCATCACGAAAAAGAGGGGTGGGGGTTGATTCAATAGCCAATCCCCTCTGGTATACAAGTTGGGGATATATACAATGTACCTCCCATCCCCCTCCCAGGATTTTCGCCCCTGACCCTATTTTTCTATTCTTTTCTTTTTCTTTAGGATTCGAGATGGCTAATGCAGCACTTGATGATGGGAAGTGCCTCCTCTCAACTTGCAGCAGGTCTGGACCCCTCAAAACATTCAAGCTACAAGCCGTGAAGAAAGTGATTGAGTGCGCAATAGAGCGATATGACCACGAGTCTCTTAGCAGAATGCAGACTATTTTGGACTCTCAAGGAGATCAAGCATCGGTGGAACTTCATAAAAACTGTTATTGTTCATTCACCTCAAAGGATCATATCAAAAAACTTGTGGCAAAGAAGAGGAAGGATGGTTCAGTTGATATTGATGAGCCACCAGTTGCCAGAATAAGAAGGTCACAAGTAATAGAGTTTGATTTCAAGAAACAATGCTTGTTTTGTGGTAAAGCTTGTGAAACTGTAAACCCTAAACATCCTGAAAGGTGGGAAAGGGTAGTACAGTGCGAAAGAAAAGGTGTCAAAGATGCTCCACCTTTCAAAGCTGTTGTATTGCAATATTGTAATGACCGTAATGATGTGTGGAGTAGGGAAGTTGCTTTGCGTTGTCATGGTGTACATGATTTATCTGCCGCTGAGGCACAATATCATGTACGCTGTTATGACGAATTTAGGAAAATGCCCGTTTATTCTGAACAGACCCCCACACTGGATGATAAAGCATTGCAATTGCTTGTTGATGAGATGTATATTAATCGAAAGATATATACTTGGACATCCATTGAACTACACGATAAGTATGTGAGTTATGGTGGTCAGTTGACACGAAAGCAAATGTTTACTAAGCTGGTTACGCACTTGGGTGATGATGTTGTAGTACTTTGCATTGAAGGTTGTGCATCCATTGTTGGATTCCGTGAGTATGTTGGTAGAATTTTTAAGGTTTCCAAAGTAGACACTGTGGATGAGGAGAAAGAGGATGCCTTGGTAAGAAAGATCACAACGGAGGCACGTGGTATTCCAGTCAACAACAAAAACTATGATCTTGGTGATTTCACTCATGCCAAGACAAAACAACAAACTAGTACTACACTGCTTAGGTTTATCTCCAAGCTAATATCAAACAGTGAAGTCACAAAAACATCACTGAGTCTTTCGCAATCCATACAATATCAAATTACCAAAACACGTAACCAAACAACACTTGGGTTGGGTGTCAAACTACACCACAAGTTTGGTAGCAGATATCTCATTGACATCTTAAATGAACATGGATGCACTGTGTCTTATGATGAGGTGCTGCGGTTCCGCAAGTCGGCGGCCAAGTATGTAAGTGACAATTCTGCAACGTTGCATGAAATGATGGGGCTTAGTCGGACAGTCGGACTCGTATTTGGCTGGTATGACAACTTCGACTTGTTGGTGTCAACTCCAAATGGTCGACGTGAGACACACGCCATGGCAACAGAATTTCAGATGCACCCAGCTGGGATTATCGAGACTGGCAGCACTCAGCCTGGTGTCAGTACTCTCATCATTCCTCGCCTCACGACCAAGCAGTCTAAGTCTGTGGGCAATAACAGGGCCATTCCACTTATGCACTATACTGGTCCGAAGAAAGTGAAGCCCCCTGCAGTACCTACTAGCAAGACTGGGATCAGCTACTCCGACGTGTGCGCTCAGCAGGCCAGTCTGGTGGCTGCCCAAGAGAAGGACACGCAGTGGCTCAACAGCCTGAGTCAGGGGCAAGATGCTATGGAGTGGAATGGTTTCAACAATCAGCTAACCAGGAGCCAGGGCGTACTCAAACCTGGGACCACCTATATGTTTGGTCCTCTGATTGATGCACCACCCTCTCACCCAGACACTATCCTCACAACGCTCACTTACATGCAGAGGTCACTGGTTGATATGGGGATGGCATATGTTCATGTTTGCATGGACATGCAGTTGTATGCAGTAACCAAACAGGTGTGCTGGTATCAGCCTATGCAGTTCAAAAATGTCATCACCCATCCTGGTGGGATGCATATTATACAGTCGTTCATTAGCTGCATCGCGAAGCTGATGAAAGGTTCTGCGTTGGAAGTGTATGTTGCCGCAGCATATGGGGGGCTGACAGGTATTTTCAATGGGAAGTCTTGGGTGAAAGCCATGCGGTCATTCCGTGGTGTATCAGCAGCACTCTTGAAGCGCTTTCTGTCAACTGGACAAAAGACATTTGAGCAGATAGAGATGTATCTGGAGAGTGCCCGCCTCCATCCCACTGGCAGACACTGGGTGGACAACTTCCTTCTCCCAATGCTCCTAATTCACCAGTTTGAGCGTGCAGAGAGAGAGGGTGACATCTACTTGAAGCATTTGACCATGAAGCGCATGATGAAGTACTTCTTCCTCGCTGGTCATGTGCAGTACGCCCGCTATCTCACGCAGTACCTCCTGGAGATGCGTGCACTCCATGTCGAAGACAAAGTGGACCTTGTCTGTCGGCACCATGATGGATACTGGAACGCTGTCTCTGCTGACCAGTTTGGTGAGCAGACTGCCATCAAGATCGGTAAGGGAGCTCTCAAGGGCATGACCCTTTCTGCTGAGCTAGTCTGTGAGTGGATCGACGCCTTCCCTATCACTGTTTACGTCGCAGACCGTGTGGACTTTATCTACTATGACTATACTCCAGGCCAATCGGCGCAGAAGCAGCACAAGGAGGAGTTGAAGCACCGGCGCATCATTGATGCACATGATCGGGGTCTCATTGATGCAGAGGTGGAGAATTACCCACACCCACTGGAAGATCACCGCCCTCATCTATACAATCCCGTCACTGGCCAACGTGCCTCCGCTAATGTGAATGTGGCGGATTCAATTGTGATTGGAGAAAAGATGGAAAGCAAATACATTGCCAGTCTCCCTGACGGGTTCTACAGTGCAATTAGTAGCCCCATCAAGACGATGCATATTCTCAAGAATCAGGGCAAGGGCAACAAGGCCAAGCCAGTAATAGACCTTGAGAACATTTTTCTCCGGCTATTGCTGATTGGTCAGCGGCGGCAGGTGGAGCTTGAGCCTCTGTTTGCCTACGAACTGTGTGCTGTGCCGTCATCGCTCATTGATGGGCATGGTTGTCTCCGTAAAGCCAGTAAGTCTGGTCTGGTCAAATGCCTCGGCGTGCTTGAAGTCTCGCCATCACCTGCTGATATTGTCATCGTGGATGTTTCACAACTGTTCTACCACATTGTGTGGCCACATGGTGGCACTGCCTCAGATCTGATTGCGTCCATCCATGGTCATTTAAATCGCTATCCAGATGGTACTGAGAAAATTGTTGTCTTTGATAAGTACCAAGATGTCTCTGCCAAAGATCACGAGAGAATGCGGCGAGCTGGTGAAGTTATCATCGACTATGAACTATCCATCACAAGTCCTCTGCCCAAAAGAGATGTAATCCTGCATAGCAAGAATAACAAGCGGATGCTGGCGAGCATCTTGTGTACCTTCAATCTAGGAGATAAGGCGACAATGGAGACCCAGGACGATGGTGTGTTTGGTCATGATGAGGCGGACGTTACCATGATATCATATGTCCTTCAGGCTGCCAACAGCGACAAGGGTGTGATCCGTGTGCTTAGTGACGACACAGACGTATTTGTTCTGCTGGTCTATTGGGTCTATCGGACGAAAATGCAGTGCAAGGTGCAGATGGAGCGATGGGATGGGACAGTGCTAGATATCAATGCCACCTGTGCCAACCTAGGACCAAAATGTCTGCAGCTGCTAGGCATGCATGCCCTCAGCAGTTGTGACACAACATCATATCCCTATGGCAAAGGCAAGATCGGTGCACTAAAGACCTTGCTCGCTGGGGACTTCCAAGGTTTGGCTGATGTACTGGGTGAGAAAGGAATCGAACGGGCAGATTTGATGGAGGCAGCAGAACCCTTCTTCATTGCTCTGTATGGTCAGCCGCCAGAGACACCTATGGAGTCTGCTCGCTTCTCACTTTTCACCAAGAAGAAGAAAACTCCCAAAGTCATGGCCCTTCCTCCAACATCTGCCAACCTGTTGCAGCACGTGCTGCGGGCTCACCTGCAGGTCATGTTGTGGAAAGCAGCAGGACACCAAGCCCCACCAGACGAGTCAGCTGACATCACTCACTTTGGGTGGGAGATGCGGGATGGCATTCCCGCTCCTGCCATTGCTCAGGGTGATCCAGCTCCACCAGAGTTAATTGATGTGATTCAGTGTCAGTGCAAGGCACAGGGCAAGAAGTGCAGCACCAAGGCTTGTGGCTGTCAAAGAGAGCATCTTTCGTGCACATCATACTGTAACTGCTCTGGAAAAGAGGGCTGCTGCAATCCGTACACTAGGAAAGGAGATGCTCAGGCTGGAGACGAGGGACGTGTGGAGACTCGAGAGATCGAGGATGATGAGGGGGAGGATGTTGAGGGAGAGGATTCCGAGGATGGTGTGGAGCAGGACAGTGAAGACCATGAGGATGTTGAGGGCAGTCTTGTTGATCCTGATTACTTAGATGATGAATGGGAGTAAAGGATAAAGATTATAGGCTATACCAGATATATTTTTGCAGCATAGCATGTATATAACTACATGTATATAACTACCTTTTTATTTATTGTTTAAGAACAATCCTTATAACATGATCCTGACAATGACAAATAATGTGACATATGTGCATGGATACCAATAAATGAGATTGAAAGGTACGTGTTAGTCGAAGTTTTCATTCATTGTCCACCAAGAGGTCAAATTTGACCTTCACCTGACCATTAGCACCTGAATTTGACCTCGAATCTTAAAAATAACCCCAGAAATGGATTCTACATACCACAAAACCTCTTAAAAGAGATATTATACATCATTCTAGGACAAGTGGTTCAAGAGTTAAATTTTCAAGATGGCGTCTGGCGGCCATTTTGGATTTATGCAAATTACCAGAGTTGCCCAAACGTGATATTTGGGCAACCAAGCTGAATTTGTTCTAGGACCCCTTGGGAGTATAAATCAACAAAAAAAGTTCATAGGAAAGAACATTTCTAGGTTGGGTCATTGCGTCTATAGGAATGCCAACTGGACTACAGTAGGTACCACTAAATGTACCTGTAGATACCAAATTTACGGCTGCAGGTAACCAGAGTATCCTAATTATCTCACATACTTAAAGGGACTTTCGTATTTTTCCCATTTAATGCTCTTTTTAAATTAATGCTGCTAAATGGCAACTTCAGAAAAAAATGTTGGACCAAAATGATTGATTTTGTTGCATTAATATACTTGTATTACTGATAGGTCTTCTGGATCGAGCAAATAGTGCTGGCAAAAAGAGCGGCAACCACTTCACGTCCACGCAGACTCTAGAGGGCGCCAGTGCACAAGCCAATCCATTCTTCGGTTTTAAAAGGGACTTGGTTCGTCTGATCGGCAACATGTGCCACAGCCACACGGCTAACCAGGACAAGGTATGCCTGTTATTTTCCGAAAAAAGAGTGTTTGCACTAACCGTTTTACGATTAGCCAAATGACCAGAAGTGAACAGTGAACACAGCGTTACCTTTTACATTGCATTGTGGGACAGTTGCAATGCACAGAATCTCCATTCATAAATGCAGATTGTCCCGGATCATGCAGAATGCAAACCTGTTACATGTATACATGTACATTCACTTTAAATGTTCAGTTTTTCTTCTATTTGAGGAAATGGGAATGTTCAGAAAATATCACCAATTGTCAAAAACGTTTTGTATTGTCTTAGACTTGTCTATAAAGAGATTTGCAATGAAACGTGACAGTCATTGCACATGTTCCTGAAATTAAAACTACTTCAAAAAGATTTTTTTTCAGGGCATTATCTGTTAGTATGTTATTCTGCTGTTTGTTTTTGGTCACAGAGAGGCTACTCTGTAGGCCTTTTCACACTAGAGCCTCTCAACCCGGGTTGAACTCAACCCTAGGCGAACCTAGCGCCCCCCCAGGTTGATTTTTTTAAATTTTTGAAGCCTGCATTCACACCTGTGTCGTTTCTCACATGTTTCGTGGAAACCAAGCTTATTTCACTTGGTTACTACTGTTTTGAATCCTGGCAAGAGTTTCAACCCGGATTGAAAATCAATCTCTGGTCTGGAGCAGGGTTGAGTTCAACCCGGGGCGAAATCAATCTCAGGGTTGATGAAGGGTTGCGCAGGGTAAAAAATTGTCGAGTGTGAAATGCCGCATGTTTTTCATTTCATTTCATTTCATTTCATTTATTATTTCGCAGGTCAAATTTTCAATGGGTAAAACAAAAAAATAATATTACAGACAGTATAGACATAAAAAATACATAGTTTAAAAATTACACATAAAACCTTATAAAAAGACTAAAACCCTTACACCAAGATAGTTGCACGCCCCTGCGGGATTGCTAAAAAGTGAACTAAGTCACTGTCAAGTACATGACTCCCATAAATCCTGCGTCAACCCTAAGATTTGTCTAGTGTGAAGGTGGGCATGCAACTTTTCCTCGGATCTGCTGATTTCTTCATTTTTTACTTTTCATGAATGCCTTTACCAATTGAAAAATACAGAACAAAGTCTTGTGTGGTTTGGAGTTTTCTCGTTTTTTTTCTTCTAAAATCCTAGTAGCATGCCTGATATCTATAGTCCTTTTTGTACAGGTACATGTATCTGACTGACAGACTCACTGTTACTTAGGAGTTACACTTGCTCATTAAAGCTATAGTACATCATTTGCAACTATCCGAAAGTAACTGACGTAATTATTGTTGAAAAACATACTTGGTTGAAAGATAGTAATGGGACTAAACTCCCTGTGAAATTATTCTTTCCGGCGAGCTGTAATTTTGAAGTAATCAACGTAAGAAGGGCTTTCCAACAGTGCGTCTTAAGACGCACCGTAGGAAAATTTAAATTAGTAGTTTGTTTTGTTATTCGGCGAAGCGCGCAAGCATTGGCACGACACGCACACGCATGCGCGGTTGCTATAATTCGTCGGATCAGTGCGCAACATCACGTAGCTGCAATCGGCTCAGTGAGAACGTGTCTCGGACGCTGAATTCAGGCCCAATTCAAAACATGATTCAGCAACTTTTGATTTGAAATTGAGATTCTAGAATGCTGTTTTTCTCAGAATGTACAGCTGAAGCTGAGCTGAAACTTCATCAGGTTAGTTGTTCAGTACCCTTCTTTAGATTTTGAGCACTTTTGTTGCTTCAAACGAACAAAATGCACAAATTACAAATGATGGACTATATCTTTAAGTCTCACCTTGCCCCAAAACATTGAAATATGAATGGGCTAAATCCTGCCAATTATGTATATTAGGCCACATGCATGAAAAAGCTTTCACGGAATAGTCATTCTGAATCAATGGATAAATTGCTTTGTGCACTCTGGGACCATTTAGTTTAGGCCTGCCTTGTCTTGTTTATAATTTGTTAATAAAATGTACTGAAATCAACCGATCACTATGAGAAAGTACATGTTAACAAAACAATCCCCGAATTGTTTAAACTTATTGAAACAGTTTTGACTTCTCACTCCCAACTTATAACTTACTTCCAACAAGTGAGGGTTCAGTTTCATTAGTTACAAAAATTGGGGTTACTCCAGTTCACACAGGACCCTTGCCAATATTCTGTCAAGCAACTCAAGGTCCCTACCTACGTGGCTGTGATGTTTAGCCCCTATTCCACAAGTCTGGCTCTGTGTTAACACTTACAGGGCTATTGTGGCATCTGTTACCATGTATAAACAAACAGTGGCCACGTCTCGGAGGACGCTGCCCTCGTGTGGTGTCAAGATGCCAGGCTACTGTCTGGCATGCTGGTTATGATACTGTCAATATTTTATATCGTAAACAAAAATGAGAAACGCATTGGGGCAATGGTAACTCACGTTACAATAAAAGGACAAAGCAAAAATGTGAATACCCTGCATCTTGAAAGTTTCCTCATACTGATGGAAACATACTGTTAGTGCCCTTGCATCATTAGGGTGTAAGTCATATTCTGCTATTGCAAAATTGTTAAAAAATAATTAAGGCCCAAAAAAAAAGTCTCCGGTTTCTGGTATGGAGCTCGCCCAAAAAGTGGTGCGGCGATGCGGCTTTTTTTTTTTTTTAACTGTTTTTTTGCTTCAAATGTCGGCTGATGACTGCAAATGGTGCCCGACTAAACTTAGTGCAAATATATGGGAGTCCAGAGAGGCCACAAAAAGCTTATTCTCGATCATAACCCCATCTAAAAACACGTTAAAATTGTGCAGCAGCAGGATTCCAGTCAAACCAGTGAGTTTGGCGGTTTTGAGACATCATCTTTTATTGAAAAAAAACTTTTTCATTTTGCCAACGCGCATGGCTACGGCGACACGCGCGTATACCAGAAACCTGAGACTTTTTTGGGGGGGCCTAATCATAAAAACTCTAGAGAGATATATTTTGGTAACTCACATGTATCAGTCGGCAATTTTTCTTGCGTCCTGAGTATACCGGTAACTGCGATGATATTAAGATGATCAGCATCACTCAGTGCTAAAACTAAATCAACAGTCACAAGAGTAGAACAATTTCAATTTCTGCACCGCGACAGAACGTGGTGGGAATCAACATCATGGTCACAACGTCATGCATACATCCGACAATCACACAACTTTTCAGTTTTGTGACCTGAGCATAACTTTACTGCTTGATGCCGATGGTTCCGTTGCGGCGCATACAAATCGCAGGTTAACCTGAGGTGGGCTTAAGTCAAAATTCAAGGGCTGTGCATTTTGCACAAATGAACATTTTTCGGTCAACTGTATGCACATGTACCCTAGTATGTCACAAAACCTTCAGACCATCCAAAGGAACAAACTGATTTGTAGGAAAAGAAACAGAGTCAAGATAAAAATTCTCTCAGGATATACTTTATTTTCAACCTGGCGTTTAACATTGAACATGGATTGTGGAACATTGAGCTTGCATGTTGTGATCAATGCTAGTATCCTGCTAGTACATGTACTTCCCTTATATTTGCTATGGCTGATCAGAGGCAAAGCAAATGAAGTCAAGATCTTTTTTTTTTACTTTAGAAACACAATCCATTGAAATACAATATAATAGCCTCGAGCTGAGTTGACTGGATGTACACAAAGCATGCATATTGAATACACATTGAATATCACGTTTACCCAATTCAAAGAAGTACCGGTATGTCTACATGTATCTGGAGTCACCAATTCTTGTCTTATTCTGCAAAATGATGAGTTCAAAATATTTGAAAGTAAATATACGTGTATGTACATACATGTACCTTAGGCCAAAAAAAAAAATACTCGGTCTGTGGTCAGCGCGCGCGTCGATTTTAATCGTGCGCGTCAACCTTTTCTTTTTTTTCAAATTAACACAGAAGCTACAACAGCGCCCTCTATTGCTGCGCCTCCTCAAAGTTTTGTACCAAGGAGCACCAAGGAATGGGGAAATTGCACCAAGGCAAATGATAAAGGGCACCAAGGCAAATGATAGAGGACACCAATGTATAATGAGGACACAAAAAAGCAAAATAGTATCCACCTTGTCTGTACAATACAAGCTTGAAAAAAAAAAGCCACCAAAAAAAACAACAAAAACGCATTGTCGCATCAATTCCAGAACTTCGGTCTGACCAGAGACCGACTATTTTTTTTTTTGGCCTGATCTTACTAACTAATGTGTGACTTTGGATGTCTTTCAACACATTTCTTGAGTAACACAGAAGATTTCTGTTTGAAATACCCCAAAACTATGAGTGTTCAATAAAGATTGTTGGCTTTGATGGCAGTTGGTGAAAAAAAGACTTGAAATGCCATCAAAAGTGGTCACTTTGTGTAGCACTTACATGTAGATAGTTTGTTTTATGACCCCAAAAATATGTTGTTATCCAGCTGAATGTGTGAAGATACTATGTCATGTTGCAATACAACAAACATTTTCAGCAGCATTTCCTGTATAGGGTGAGTAAAAACAAACGAAACCCAAATGTCAGGACCATTGTTCTAGTGAAGTTCTACATGTAGCACTTTCAAAATCTAGGATATGAAAGTCCAATTCATAAGCTTTCTTTTTGAGAATCATTCAAATCACCCATGTACTTTTCAAGTTGCAGAATTTTAAACACAACCGCCGTTTTAAGGTTCTGTCCACGAATCACAAAAAAAGTTGAGTGTTCTTTATAAGCAAAACGAAAACAAATCACATAAGGATGTGTGTGAATTGTTTTCGTTTTGCTGAAAGAATGCACACCTTTTATTAAAGTGATCCGTGGACAGAACTTTAAAACGTTGGTTGCCAGAACTTTAAAACAGTGGGTTGTGTTTAAAACTCCGTAACCTGAAAAGTACATGAGTGATGTGAATGATTCTTGTACTAAAAGAAAGCTTATGAATTGGGCTTTCATATCCTAGATTTTGAAAGTGCCACATGCAGAACTTCACTAAAACAATG